GGAGTGGGGGTGGGGGGGTAATGGGATGTGTTTGGGGAAGGGGTGGATTCTGGTGTACTTTGTGATAGACAAATCAACAGACGCATAGTGGGATTCAACATTCATGCAGGCAGCCACAGGTACTCACTGTACTTCGCACTCGGGAATGGAACTTATAGTTATAGTGCGGTTGAGTGCGGTTTAAAATTCGTGGGACAATTAACTCAAGTATCTCTTTAACGGGTGAACTATGTCACCCATACTTTGCTCAGCAGTTTGTATCAATTTGTCTTAACTTTATCATATTTTCCCACAACAATCGAGGCTAGATTCTTTAAAAAACTTTTCTTCACAAATGTATTATGAAATACTATAAATCCCCGCCATGCGGAAAATGGGAATGTTCACAGCACTTCCTGCTTCCGACACACCTTTTGCTTACGCATATGGCCTAGGTCATAGTTCACCAATGGAGCTTTTTAGTGTCAGAACATTTTTCAAGAATTAAATTTTATAGTGAACACTTTTTTGCACTTCAGGTTATCAAATTATGCGCTCAACCGACTTGGATTTTTTAAATTAGTATTCATTAAGGAATTTTCTCAAATACAGCTCACAGGGGTTTATGAAAGTATTGACATGTTATGACAAATTGATACAAGTCATTGTGCAATAGGTGGGGAGTCTATGCTCGATAGTTTAAGAAATATTTGCCAACAAGTTGCGCCAAGAATTTTTGACCGCACTATAGGCCTTCTGCGTGCAATAGCGAAGAGCGTAAGCATTACACCACAGACCACGATCCGGCCAGAGAAATCCCCCAGGATACCACCAAGCTGAAGACGTAGCAGAACCACAATTGGAAAAGCTATTCGGGTCATTGGCAGGTTTCTAATGGAATTTTAACATTCTGAACACATATTGTGATAGTCTTTCAATGTTACCTCCTATTAAAATAAAGAGTGTTTAGTTCTGGATTGAGCCCAATACTCGATTTGTCAGGTGGTTTCGGGTTTGTTTATTTTTTTGTCCGTTTGTTTGTCTGTTTGTTTGTTTGTTTGTTTGTTTTGAGGAAGCTATTAAAAGAGTGAATGTACTGAATGCAATAACTCACTATTTTGGAGTTTGAGACTTTGATTATTTTTTTTCCATTATAGTCTACACCTGGACAGCCAGACCAGCAGACAAATAATGAGACACACTGTAAGACAGACGGAAAGATGCAGACAGAAAAATAAACAATAAAAGACACGTAGAGAGACAAGTAAACAGAACTCACACACGCTCACACAACACACACACACACACACACACACACACACACACACGCGCACACACACACACACACACACACGCGCGCGCACACACA